GGGGGGGGGGGGGGGGGGGGGGTGCCAGCGCCACCTTTCTATTAATGTTTACACTAGTACGTGCAGTTCTCGTGGCACGTGTATACAACGAAATCTTGCAGCAACGTCGGAACCATGACGAATCACCACTGCTAGCACAACAGCAGCAGCACGGAGGGAAACACAGAAAACGAAACTCAGAACACCCAATGACGGCAGCAGAAACGCACCAGCCCACCTAAAAACACCGACACTTATCAACAACAGCAACGGCAGCAGCAGCAGCAGCAGCAGCAGCAGCAGCAGCAGCAGCAGCAGCAGCGCACACCATCCCAAAGCCATGCACCAACAACCCGCTCCACCGGACATCACCTAAAGCCCGTTCGGGAACATGAGGCTCGGCACCCCTCCCCTTACCTGTGATGCCGTGCGGAGCCAATCCCACACTAAAAGCCCACTCGCGCTTACGCTCCAAGTTCTTTCCCACCATGATCCGATACCACTAGACTGCTGTTCCAACCTATAGCCGCTCGCGCGCATCCCCCAACACGCAAGAAAACCGGGTCCCGCGGAACAAGGGGTCCGTGGTTAAGGAATTTGGCTGGCCTCGTATCGGTCACCGGGCACGAGTCCATCCGTACCAAGCGGTTTCACCGGCCTGTAAACAAGGACCCTCTCAAATGCTATTTACTAAACTATGGAATAGCCAGCGGGAGGTTCTCCCGCCCCATCTCTCTCTCCGCCTTCCCCCGGCTCCGCACCGCCACCGCCCCCCTGCAGGACGTATTCCGAGACGTTGGCGCTGGACTTTAGCTTGTGGTAGATGGCGGCACGGCTGCCGATGATGTTGCCCTCGCCGACAACCGCCGCCGTGTCGGGAGCTAGCCCGGAGGACGCTTTCTTGGCGGAGTGTTTCTTGACAACTTCGACGTAGTACCTGCTCGTGGAACACGCGCCGCCGGGGAGACGTTGTCGTCGTCGTTCACGTTGCTCACACAATGGTTGATTACGGAGGAGGGGGGAAATTGGCGATGCTGTACTTATACAATGGTCGGTTACGGCGGAGGGTGAAAATGGCGGTGCTGTACTTAGACAATGCCGGGGGATTTTGAACAGGGCGTGAAGAACAATTTGGTTGTGCGACAGCTGTTGATCGAACAACACCTGGGAAAGGGTCCCAGAGCGTTTGGTTACCCGGCGGGGTCCGGCCGGCCCTGCGGCGGCGGCAGGTACTCAGTGCTTTAACAACCATACACACGGGGCCCCCGCGCGAAAAAAAAACAAACGAAAACGCACACAGCTGAGAAGTAGAGGGACGTGAAGAGATCGAAGGCCCTGAGGTTTCGAACAACAATGCTTGCGGGTCTTGACTCTGCACGTACGATAGGCCCTTCGGCAGTGAAATACACCCACGAGCACCACAGGGTACCTACCCCCTACCGTAGACGCCTCGACTCACTTGGAACTATCTCGGAGCGTGCGCCTTTGCGTGTCGAAGTCCACCTCATAGAGCCCGAACCTGGGACCGTACCCTGCAAAGACAAAATACGGCATTTGGACGTTTCAAGATGAGTCCCCTATAAGTAAGTTGCAGTTGCCAACCCGCCGTCATACGAATTGTTGCAAAAAAAAAAAAAACACGAGGAGGACAGCTCTCGAGCTTGGCGCGTAAGCCGCCGTGAAACGTCTGGCACCTGCTGGGACCGAACCCTGCGAACAAAGGGCAATTGGACGTCAAACGCCGTACTTTGACGAAAACACACAAGGCGAAGGGCGAGAGTGACGCGCAAGTCGCAATGCAAGGTCTCGCAGGTCTGGCATCGGGGACCGAATCCTGCTCCACCAAACGTGTTGGACGGCTCAAGGCTCGTTCATTGCCCTGTCTTGTACTTTGCCGGGGGGGGATACTCATAGTCGTGCATGCCGTAGTCGTTAGACCATTGACCTCGCATCCCTACAAAGCCGGGACGGAGCACGCCGGGTTGTCACCGGACGAGGCTCTCACATCACCAAGCGCGAAGCGCCGTGAGGTTTTCGGCGAGTCGCATGAAGGGTGAGCTGCATCCTGCTAAGGGTGTTCGGCATCTTGTGCTTACTTCCTTGCGTACGGATGACAGCTGCGTATGACTTAATTTATTTTCTGGTGCTTTCACTTCCAGAGACAGTTGTAAGCACTGTGCAACTGCCTCGAGGATGCTTGACCATTTTAACACAACGTGGTGCGATCATCCCCCTTGCGCGGAGTGAGGGATCTCCACCCCGCACAACATTTAATGTGAAGACAACAACAACAACAACAACATGATCTACTCGACCACCATAATGGTTACCACCAAAAAAAAAACAGAGGTAAAAAAAAACGGTAACCTGGTTGCCGAGTTCACGAAGTGAATTGGCTTGTTTTACAACGTCTTTGCCAAGCCACCAAAACCCAATCCCGATGGCAAACACCGGGGGGGCGGCTTG